TGCTGTGGGATGTCCACACGTATGTGCATGCTGTGGGATGTCCACACATATTTGCATGCTGTGAGATGTTCACACGTATATGCATGCTGTGGGGTGTCCACATATATGTGCATGCTGTGAGATAACTGCACATATGTACATGCTGTGAGATGTCTATGCATATGGGCACATACAATTTTCTTTGTTTTTTGTTTTTCAATATGGTTTCTCTGTGTAGCCCTGACTGTTCTGGAACTCACTCTGTAGACCAGACCAGTCTTGAACTTTGAGATCTACCTGCCTCTGCCTCCCAAGTGCTGATATTAAAGGCGTGTACCACTCCTGCCCAGCATACTAATATAATTTTTAAACCATAAAAGTTATGGTCCCGTGGAGATGTGTATGTGTGGTGTGTGTGTGTATGTGTGTGTGTGTGTGTGTGTGTGTGTGTGTTGTTGAGAGTTATATTCTGTAGTCCAGGCTAACCTGGAACTCACCATATAACTATGGCTAGCCTCAAATTCTCAGCAATCTTGCCTCTGCCTCCAAAGTACAGGAAAATATACTCTTTTTCACCATAAAAAAGTAACCTTGGGGGCTGGAGAGATGGCTCAGTGGTTAAGAGCACTGACTGCTCTTCCAAAGGTCCTGAGTTCAATTCCCAGCAACCACATGGTGGCTCACAACCATCTGTAATGAGGTCTGGTGCCCTCTTCTGGCCTGTAGACATACACGCAGGAAGAATATTGTATATATAATAAATAAATATTTAAAAAAAAAGTAACCTTGGGCTGGAGAGATGGCTCAGTGGTTTAAGGGCATTGGAAATTCTTCCAAAGGACCTGAGTTCATTTCCCAGCACCCACATGGCAGCTCACAACTGTTTGTAATTCTAGTTCTAGGGGATCCGACACCCTGACACAGAGTATATACAGGCAAAACACCAGTGCACATTGAAAGAGAGAGAGAGAGAGAGAGAGAGAGAGAGAGTAACCTTGGGCCAGGGGTGGTGACGCTTTAACCCTAGCTTTCTGGTGGCAGGCACAGGCAGATCTCTGAGTTCAAGGTCAGCCTGGTCTACAGAACAAATTAAATTTGAGGACACCTGAGACTACAAAAACAAAACAAAACAAAAACAAACAAACAAACAAAACCTCTGCCTTAGAAAAAAAGGGTGACCCTGACTGGGGAGATAACTCAGAGTTAAGAGAGCTTGCTGCCAGCTGTCTGTAGCTCTAATTCCATGGGATCTGGTTCCTCCTTCTGGCCTCTCTGGCCATCAGACATGCAAGTGGTACACAAACATACACACAGGTAGAAAACCACATGCAAAAAAAAAATTAAAAAGAAAGTAAACTCTTTTTTTCTTTTCCATCTGCCTCTGCATCCTGAGTGCTGGGATTACAGGTGTATTGCACCACACCCGGCTGACAGTAACCTTTTAAGACATAGTGATAGAAGGATATGTAATACGTGGCCTGAGGAGGCGGCCCCGTGGGTGCAGGGTTCGCTGAGGAAGCCCAGGATCCCCAGAATCCTGTGGAAAACGAGGAGTGGTGGTGCGGCTGGAGCAGGCCGGTGTGCTCTGGGGGCTGCTGCCAGCTAGTGGGGCTGAAATGCTGCGTTCCAGAGTCTGTGGAAGACCCTGTCTCAGAAGATAAGGTGAAGCAAGATTGAGGAAGACAGTGGGCATCAGCCTCTGGCTTCACACACACAGACACACAGATGAACATTTAAAAAATGGAACTTTAGTAGTGCTAGTGATTAGCACCAAGGCCTCACAAACTAGGCAAACAATTTATCACCCCCTCTCTCTTCAACACCTGACCCCTAGCAAATAATGTCTGTCTCTGACCCTCTAATTTCTGCATAAAAACACAGGTGACAGTTTGATTTGTATGTTTATTTGGTATGTATTTACAAATGTATGCATATAGCATTTTTAATTTTTAATTACATCATGTGCCTGCACTCACACACACTTGTCATGGCATATGTGTAGTAGTCAGAGGACAACATATAGGAGAGGTCTCCTTCTTCCTACCTATTGGTCTCAGGTGTTAAACTCAGGTCGTCAGGTTTAGCAAATGTCTTTACCCACTGAGCTATTTTGTCAGCACAACATAATGTACTACACAAATGTAGATATGCACACCATTCTGCACCTTGGTTTTCTTTCCCTAAATATGTCTTAGAGAGTCTGTATGTAGAGAAAGTTTAGTGCAGGAGTCTTCAATCTGAAGGGCTGCACAGTAGCTATGATAAAATAGTAGTGTGTTTTACCGACCTCCCACTGGACAGGGAACATCGAGGGCTCATTTTTTTACCATTACAAATTGCAGTGCACATCACATGTGCAAGTGTTTCTTGAGAACTCTCTTAGTTACTTTTCTATTGCCATGACAAAATCTCATGACTGCTGGGTGGTGGTGATGTACACCTTTAATTGGGAGGTGGAGGCATGCAGGTCTCTGAGTTCGAGGCCAGCCTGGTCTACAGAGTGAGTTCCAGGACAGCCAAAGCTACCCAGAGAAAGCCTGTTGCAAAAAAAAACCAAAAAGGAATTTATAATTTCGGGGGGGTTGGAGTCCATGACTGTCATGGCAGAGGGCATGGCAGCACACAGGCAGTGGCATTGGAGCAGTAGCTAAGAACTCACATCTTAGCATAGAACAAGATGGTGAGAGTTAACAGGACCTGACATGGGCTTTTGAAGCCTCAACCCCCCAACACCTTCGCTTCCCCCACTGGCACAGTAACACATCTCCAAGGCCAAGCCTCCCAATCCTTCCCAAACAGTTCCATCTACTAGGAACCAAGTATTGAGGTCTATGAGCCTATGGGGGACATATCATTCAAAGCACCACACACTCTTTTCAGGAATTACTGGATCAATAACACATGCTTCCCCTCTGCAAAGCTATGTAAAACTGTATTCACCAGTCATGTACCTTAGGGCTTTGGAATGTGCTAGAAATCTTCTTTGGGGAACAGGTAGGATATAAATAATGAATTTAGAAAATCCATTGGAAAAAAAACCTAACACTCAGTTTGGGAATGAAATGACTTGGATATCAGGGTAATTGCTAGTCTTTGGTCCCAGACCACAAGGTGTGCCTGCCATCCAGCCAGGGCTTGCCCATTTGAGGGAAGCCATCCTTAGGGAAGCAGCAGTGGGGAGGACTGTTCCCCGCCTGTAGAGAAAAGCCCTGTGCTGCCTAGCTTTCCTTGGGTGGCCAGCTCCAGGCCTGAGTTGAGGCCGACTGCCTGGCTACTGTGGGAAACAGCCTTGGGAACAGCCACAGCCACACCTCCTACGGCGGTTGGCGAGCCTCAGAGCACAGAGCTGGGGGGCAAAGGGAGTCCAGGTCCTATTTAGTGCAGAAATTCTCTACCTTCCTTCCTTCTTCAAACTGTTGGTACATGTAATTTTATCTTATTTTATTTTAAAAGATTTATTTACTTATTTTGTATACAGTGTTCCTCCTGCCTGTACATCTCTGTGCTAGAAGAGGGCACCAGATCTCATTATAGATGGTTGTGAGCTACCATGTGGTTGTGGGAATTGACCTCAGGTCCTCTGGAAGAACAGTCAGTGCTCTTAACCTCTGAGCCATCTCTCCAGTCCTAGTACATCTAATTTTAAAGGTTGTTTTCCTTCTTTTCTCTCCCTTCCTCCCTCCTTCCCTCTTTCACTCCTTTTCTTTCCTCCTTTCTTTCTCTTACCTTGCAATAACCCTAAGAAAGTAGTGAGGAAAGTCAAATCAGGAGTCATGACTCTAGTTTCTCAACCTTGTTAAAGAAGCAACTGAAGCCAGGCAGTGGTGGCGCACACCTTTAATCCCAGCACTCGGGAGGCAGAGGCAGGCAGATCTCTGAATTTGATGTCAGCCTGATCTACAAAGTGAGTTCCAGCTCAGCCAGAGCTGTTGCATATACAGAAACCCTGTCTCGAAAAACAAAACAAACAAATAAATAAAACAAAACAAACAAAAACAAAACAAAACAAGACACCATCTGAAGGGCTGGGTGGTAGCATGCTCTGTTATCCCAGCACTCGGCAGGCAGAGGCAGGTCAGTCTCCAAGCGTTTGAAGACAGCCTGTTCTACAGAGTGAGTTTTAGGTCAGCCAGGGCTTCATAGTGAGACCCTGCTGGAAAAAGAAGAGAAAATAGTCTATTTAGCTTTTTTTGTATTTGTTCATGTGCTTTTCTCATTTTCTCTGGGGCTGTGCATGTGTCTGTTCCTAAAGACACAGTCATTTCCTTTTAACGACAGCACATAAGCAATGGCCAGAGAACAGGCCCCAACTTCTTTTTAAAAAAATGATTATTTATTTTTATGTTCATTGATGCTTTGCCTGTTTATTTGTTAATTTGCATGTATTCTCTGATCTGTGTGTGTGGGTGTGTATACACAGAAGCCAGAAGAGGATATTAGATAGCCTTCTCTAGCACACCCCACCTACTCCTCACAGTCATAGTCTCCCCGTGAATTTGAGTTTTCGTGGTGTGACTGAAAACCAGTCAGCCCCAGAAGTCTTTGTGTTTCTGCCCCCTCAGGGCTAGGATTACAGGTGGGCACAGCTTGCTGTGTGGGTGTTGAGACCTGAGCTCTGTTCCTTATGATTGTGTAGCAAGTGCTCTTAGCTGTGAGACCATCTCCCCAGGCCAAAGGCTAATATTCTAATGGACCTGCAGAACTTTCCCCTCCCATTGCACATATTCATGTGCTTTCCAGTGCACACAATCGGGAGACACTGTGTGCCTGGCCAGCTCGCGCTTGTGAATCTTTGTGATGTTAGAGACTGGTGAATATAGATCAAGTACATTCCTCTTTTAAAAAAGATTTTATTTATTTATTTATTATACACAGTCTCCTGTCTGCATGTATGCTTGGATGCCAGAAGAGGGCAGCAAATCTCATTATAGATGGCTGTTTGCCACCATGTGGTTCCTGGGAATTGAACTCAGAACCTCTGGAAAGACAGTCAGTGCTCTTAACCGCTGAGCCATCTCTCCAGCCCTCCTATAACTCATTAAAGAAATGTACTTGGGGGCTGGAGAGATGGCTCAGCGGTTAAGAGCATTGCCTGCTCTTCCAAAGGTCCTGAGTTCAATTCCCGGCAACAACATAGTGGCTCACAACCATCTGTAATGAGGTCTGGTGCCCTCTTCTGGCCTTCAGGCATACACGCAGAAAGAATATTGTATACATAATAAAATAAATAAATAAATTTTTTTTTTTTAAAAAAGAAATGTACTTGATGGCCTGGAGAGATGGCTTAGATGACTGTTCTTCCAGAGGCCCTGGGTTCAATTCTCAGGAACCACATGGTGGCTGACTCACAACTGTCTATAAAGGGATCTTATTCCCTTTTCTGGCATACAGGAATATATACAGATAGAGCACTCATATACATAAAACAAATAAATAAGTCTTTAAGTTGTTGCAAAAGGAAAAACTTTGAATTCTCTTTGCATATTAAAATCTCCCTAAGCAAGGTTTGGTAAGCACTGCTGACTGGCAGGATGGCATTTCTAAAGGAACAAGGCCTAATAGCCACTCCCAAACCCTTTGTGTCTGGTGAGATGGTTCTGTAAGACCTACTGTAAGTTATATCTGGAGGCTTGGATATCACACTAGTCTAACATCGGAATAGAGGTCTAACATCGGAACAGGCCTGCATACAGACCCAAGTTCAATCCCCAGGACCTGCTTACAAGGTGGGGGGGTGGAGAGAAGGGACTTCACAGAGTTGTCCTTTAATGTCTGCAGGCACCACACCTGTTCACACGCACACACACATGCACACACACATACACACACGTACGCGCACACAGACACACACATACATACACACATGCATACGCATGCACACACGCATGCACACAAATACACACGCATACATGTGTGCAGCACATACACACACGCACACACACAGAGAACCCTGAGGGGAGCCACTTGTGGTAGAAGAGCACCGCTTTGCCCCCAATCTGCTTGGTACCACTGTCACCTCTGTGAAACCTTCTGTGACTTCTTGTCCACTTGCTAAGCCTCAACAGGAGTGAGTAGAATCTTTTTGCTCCTTGCCGCTTAACCCAACTCCCAGGAAGGCTCACAGAATAACCTGTGAGCTTGTGTCTTCCCTGGTGAAGTGGGAGCTCCTCCGTGGAGGGTTCCAGAGAATTAATGAAGACTTTCTCTCAGTCAACCAGCTTGGCAGATCTGAACAGCTTGGCAGATCCTATTACTGTCTTTGCATTTCTGGAAGCTCACTTAGGCAAATGTCTTGACATAGCAGGAACCTAGCACTAGCAATCTACATTTTTAAATTTAAATTTAGAATTTATTTTATAGGTATGAGTGTTCAGCCTGCTTAATCTGTACACCACTTGTGTGAGCGGGTGTCAAATCCTCTGGAATAGGAATTAGAGACCTCTGTGTTGCGAACTGGCCTGTGGGAATCGAACCTGAGTCCTCTGAAAGAGCAGCCGATGTTCTTAACTGCTGAGCCACCTCCAGAGACAGCAATCTAATTGAAGTTTATGTTTGCGCAGCAAGCAGTATGAACTTACAGTCCAGTAACATTTTCTCAAAATGTCTGTCCACACTTTATATTACCGAAGGTCATTTGACTAAGAATATGTTTCGCTTTTATTTTTATTTACTAACTTTTTAAGGATACAGTTAAAATATCACGGGTGACCGTAAGGACCTGACAGTGGTTAGGTCCTCAGGTGTCAGCCCAGCCCTTTCACACCTGATTGGACCAAAGTTGGGCCTGGTAGCGACTCCCCGCAAGCCCCGCCCCCAGATGCTCGGGCCCCGCCCCCGGCCCTGCCCCCGCTCTCCATAGTTACGGCGCCGTGAGAGGTGGCGGCCATCTTGGCGGTGGAGCGATGAGCGGGTCGAACTCGAAGGCTGCGACCGCGGGGCCGGCGTCTGGGCCCGGCGGGCTGGTGGCTGGCAAGGAGGAGAAGAAGAAGGCGGGCGGCGGCGTCCTGAACCGGCTTAAGGCGCGGCGGCAGGCGCCCCCAAACTCCGCCGACGACGGCACCGGGGCTGCGGTCACGGAGCAGGAGCTGCTGGCGCTGGACACCATCCGCCCTGAGCACGTCCTGCGCCTCAACCGGGTCACCGAGAGTGAGTGGC